GGGAATAAATGGAAATGAATAGGAAATGACGGGATTAATAGGGTTCTCACTAGTTGCATCAGCCAACATTTGGCTCAAGAACCCCGCTGCGAAAATAGCGAGTTCGCATGAGCCCTTTGACATCGTGCTGAACACCGGGGAATGCGGCATCGAAAGCTGGAGAAAGCTCACGCGGAGGTACGACCCATCCACTGGTGGTCGCAAACGCGCTCTCCTCAATGCAATCTTGTCACCGGCTCGATCCAAGATGGAAGATTTGCCGTCCAACCTGGAGAAGCTTCTTGACAGCATCAGACTTTATGAACGTCGCAAAGACGCATCTGGCAACCGAACGATGTTGGCAGAAGACATCAAGATCAACGTGATTGAACGATTGGTGCCGGCAGAGCTCGAGCGTCATCTCGTTCTCAATCGAGATCGCTTCAAGACGTTCGAGTCCATGCTGTCCGAGATCCAGTCCTATGTGGAACATGCCACCGGCAACAAGATCAAGGTGGTGAACAGCCAGCCCTACGACGCACATGGCCGTGGGGACGATCCTATGGATGTCGGAAGCTTTGGAAAAGATGCAAAGGGAAAAGGTAAGGGCAAGAAGGGAGCTGGAGGAAAACCTGGAAAGGGAAATGCAACAGCTGAGAAGAGGACATGTCACAACTGCGGACGCCCAGGACATCTGCGGGCAGATTGCTGGGCACCTGGAGGCCCCAAACATAAGGGGACGGGTGGCAAAGGCAACAGCAATCAGAATAAGGACAAGGGCAAGGGCAAAGGCAGCCCCGGAAAGCACAAGCAGAAGCCCAAAGGAGGCAAATCTGTGAACAATGTCGAACAAGGTGAACCAGAAGCAGAAGACTGGGACGCAGCTGATGGCGACGATGGTCAACAAGCAGCAAATGGTTTAACGCTCTATGGTGTTGGTGGGCCACCACATGACGAGGATGACGACGAAAGTTTCCAGGTCGATCCCGAGTCCGAGGAGTCGGAAGCCTCGACAAGTCGCAGAAGGTGGTTTTCTTTGCCTCACCCACGTGCGTCATGGCCTGAAGAGTGGGACGACCCCGACTATGATGGACCGAGTGGATCGAGTGGCTCAAGACCCCTTCGGTCGCTTCGACTGGAGGAGGTCACCGAGCACGAGACCACTACATCCAAGTCCGCGTCTTCCAAGGCACCTCGAACGCCACAGGGAAGACCCAAGAGGGGCAGAAGTCCAAAGAGCTCAACACCAAAGAGAGGCAAAGCAAGCAGATCAGGGCCAGTCACTCCGGAGTCAGCACTCCGACGCTTTCGAATGACTTCGATGACACCACCACCAAGGAGAAGGTTGAGGCATGGGCCACAGACTCCAGAAGAACTTCTTCGTAGCTCTACACCTTTGCCAAAGACACCACCGACACCTATAGCATGGCCTGCATCACCTCCACAACAGCCGATAGCCTCGCCCAAGACTCCACCAGGACCACCACCAGGATGGCAAAGCCAAGTAGCTTCACCCAAGACTCCGCCATGTCCACCACCGGGATAGCAAAGCTCTCAGGTGAAGCCACCACCACCTGTCAAGGCATCATCGGCAGCTTCGACTTCAGGTTCTCGACTTGTCCAGATGCTGAAGGCTGCGCTGAGTTCACAAATCCGCAAAGTCCAAGAAGAAGATCCTGGTTCAGGAGATGGCCAGGCAGATGCGATGTTAGCGGCTTTGAGGACTAGATCTGTCAAGGCACCGCACATCACAAAGCAGAACATCAGCGATCCTTCTTTCCACGACTCGAGATACCATGCCGAGATTGCCAAAGGTGTTGCACACAATGTGGCCTGGAGAAATGAACGTTTGAGAAGACGTGCAATCGTCCACCGACGAGGAGGAGTCAAGGCACGTGCGGCTGAAAGGATTCGACTTGACAAAGAATGGCATGAACGCTTTGACAACCCAGAAAATCCAGAAGGCATAGTGAGAATCGAGGATGAAGACAACTTGGATGCGGGCATCGAGACGGTGGTTGTGGGCAAAGCTGGTCAGAGCACAGTGATAGAGTTTTCAATGGAAGAGCGGAAAACTTTGAGGCAGTTCCCGGACGACGAGGCCAAGTTGCTGCGGAAGGATCCCAAGAAGAAACCCATGACCAAGCGTGTTCGAAGCGTTGGGTACAGGGTGAAGAAGAATCGCAACCGCAATGTGGCGCGCAAGATGGCGAGGAAGAACCGACCAGCCTTGGTTCTGAAGGAAAACACTGAAGTGAACGCAGATGAAGATGATGATGAAATGGAAGAGGTCTACATCGAAGAGCCTGATGAGCCTCGAGACCGACCAGGCAGAGGAGACCCCGATGGTGGAGCTGGATCGGCTCCTGCTGCAGTCTACAGCTTGGGGGCCTCTGACGACTGGCGAAAATGGGAACGAGCAGAGTTGAACATCGACACCGGTGCTGCCATCACTGCAGTACCACTTGACTTCGCCAAGGACTACCCGAGGAGCGAGTCCAATGGAGCAAGCTACAAGGCAGCCAATGCGGAACCCGTCGAAGATCAGGGAAGTGTGAAGCTGGTGGGATACGACGAATCTGGCAACAAGATCCCAATCGATTGCCGAGTTGCAGATGTGCATCGGCCACTTCTTTCAGGTTCCGAGATCGCCAAGAACTACCACATCGCCCTTGGACCATCTTCGGGGAGATTGATCCCAAGAAACACTCCTGCGGGACGGGCCTATTCGAAGGCCATGAAAGATCTGATCCGAGATTATGGCGATTCAATGCCCATTGTGCACAATCGCCGAGGCATCTATGTGTTGGACTATTGGGTGTCACCTTTTCAGGGGCATCCTCAAGAGGAGTAAGACCACAAATCAACGCTGTTGGCGAGGATCCAGCTGTTTCAGCCGGAGCCGATGCCATGGAAGATGGAGGCGATGTTTCAGCCGCTTCGGCCGGAGCAGGGTCCTCAGGCGATGTTCCAGCTGCTTCAGCCGGAGCAGATGCCTTTGAAGATGAAGTTGATTTGGAAATCGGTGAAGAACAGAGGAAAGCCATTGTGAAGAAAGAACCACATCAACCATCCCAAGCTGAAGTTGACGAACATGAAAGCACTGGACATGTTGTCCATCGGAGCTGGTGCTTGCACTGCAAAAGGGCACGTGTGACTGCTGATCGCCATGTGCCTAAGGAACTTGATGAGCCAGAAACGCAGTTGCCCACGCTGAGCCTGGACTACTTCTATATGAACCAGGACCAGGTTGCGGATGAGGCGACCCTTCCGAGCATTGTGGCGAAGTGCCACAAGACCAAGAGATTTTGGGCGAGCGTTCTCCCGGGAAAAGGGGCGGATGCGTTCGCAATCGCGTGGCTTGGGGGAGTTTTGGATGATGCTGGTTTTAATAAGGTAATCCTTAAGTCTGACGGTGAACCCTCCTTGGTATCCCTTAAACAGAAGGTTAAGGAGATAAAGACCCACATCGAAGTGCACTTGGTGGAAACCCCAGTAGAAGACCATCAAGCCAATGGGTTTATCGAAGTGGGAGTGCGAGAGATAAAACGACAATGTCGTGCTCTCCTCAGCGACCTGGAGTTCAAGCTGGAAAGGAAGGTAGATCCGGGCCATCCACTTTTGGTTTGGCTCCCGCGGCATGCTGCCTTTCTCTTGACGAGATACCGAGTAGGTACTGATGGAAAGACCGCTTTTGAGCGGACCTATGGACGAAAATGGCGGATTCCGCTTGTGAGGTTCGGTGAAAGCATCCTGTATAGGCCGAGGGCCAATCGTGGGGGCAAGAGAAATGACCTTGCTCCAAGGGTATCCATTGGGATGTACGTTGGAACTGGAAACAGAAATTCAGACGTCTTTGTCATGACGGAACGTGGAATCATGAAGGGGAACTCGATCCATCGACACCCACCTGACGATCAGTTCAAACATGATCAGTTTGACTCGCTACGTGGCCTTCCTTGGAGGTTGCAAGAACGAGAACATGGTGGACTGAGGATCGCCCTTCCCGATGTTGCAGCGCCTCGTGAAAGGCCTGCAGTGCAAGAAGTGATCCCAAGGAACCTCTATGTCACCAAGAATGACTTGGAAAAGCATGGGCACACACCTTTGTGTCCTGGATGTGAAGCAGCAATACTTGAGATGCCAAGCCGAGCTCACAATGCTGAGTGCAGACAAAGAATCCAGATCGAACTTGACAAGACTCCAGAAGGTCAAGAAAGGATCAAAAGAGCGAGAGAGAGAGTTGCACAAGGCAGGCGCCCAAGAGGCGCGGCTGCACCGCCTGAGGGTGGTGGGGCAGAAGGTGGTGAAGCTGCACCACCAGTTGTCCCAGGAGGGGAAGTTGAACAACCAGTCTTGCAAGACCGTGTTCCTTTGGATGCGGAAATGGATGCAAGTGAGGCTGTTGGTGAACCACTGGTCGACACCGATTTTCGTGGAGAACTCAGACAGAGAGAACAAGAAAGAGAAGGAAGCCCAAAGAGGCAGAAACAAGAACAATCCCGAGGAGAGAAAAGGAGTTCACAAGTCGACGTTGAAGATCTTTACAATGAATCTTCAGCTCAGGCTTCAGGGTCAGCCGGACCACCGGCACCGGATGCTTCATCTGGTGTTCCGGAAGGTGCTGCCGCTGCACCAACAAGTCCTGAGACAAACCAGGAGATGCTACATCTGTGTTCCTTGCTCAAAGATGTGATCGCAAAAGGGAAGGTTGCTGAGATCTTCTCTCCACCGCGTGTGGCTGCACAAGCCCAAGTGGTCGGGCTAGCACCTGGCTTCTCGATTGACTTGGAGACAAAGCGTGGTGATGGAACTCACTGGGACTTGAGTAAAGATGAACACATTCGTGATCTGTTTCAACTGCTTGACTATGAGAAACCAGAGTTCCTCGGCGGCTCACCTCCCTGTGGGCCATTCTCGAAGCTGCAAAGCATTGTGGATGCGAAGGGCAATGTTTCACCTGAAGTTCGAGCGCAGAGACTAAAAGATGGTCGCAAACATCTGCGCACGGCAGTTTCAGCGTATGAGCATCAAATGAATGCTGGAAGGTACTTCTACCATGAGCACCCTAAAGGGGCCGCTTCGTGGGAAGAGAGAGCTGTGAAGAGACTGAGGGCAGATGAACGGGTGTATGAGGTCACTGGACCAATGTGCCGTTGGGGAATGAAGGCCGCCGATGGCCAAGGTGAAGGGTCAGTGAAGAAAGAAACTACCTGGCTCACGAACTCTCCAATCCTGGCACAGACCCTACAAGGGTGCTGTTCAAACAAAGAAGGCAAAGTTTGGCACCGCCATGTACATCTTGTTGATGGACGAGCCCGAGCTGCCCAGAAATACCCACCAAAGCTTGTCCACGCAATTCTCAAGGCCATTAGGCGCCAACTGGAATGTGATGGAGAACTACACTCACTTTCACATGGCCCAGTACCCGATGCTGGACCTGTGATCAATGAAGAGGAGGAGTTTTGGAAGCAGCTGCCCGACAGCGATGACACCATCGTGGAGCCAGTGCTTGACGCACACTCCGGTGCTGTCTTGGATGTTGACAAGGTCAGAGCTGCTCGACAAGAAGAACTAGCATGGGTACACAAACAGGGTATCTATATCAAAGTTCTACTCACAGAAGCCCAACAGTCTGGAAAACCGGTCATCACCATGAAATGGATTGACAGAAACAAAGGGGATGCAACACACCCCAACTACAGGTCACGTCTGGTCTGTAGAGAGATCAAACGGGCCAGCAATGCTGACTTCATTCCGGACTATGCGTCCTTCAGTTCGATGCCGCCTTTGGAATCGCTGAAATTGCTTCTATCGCTTATGGTGACTTTGAGACGATCCAAGTCTGGCAATGCACTGAAAGTTCGTCTTCTTGACATATCACGCGCTCACTTCTATGGAGAGGCAGAGCGTGATATCTTCGTGCAGTTACCTGAAGGAGATCGACAAGAAGGGTTTTGTGGCAAGCTCGTTAAGAGCATGTATGGAACACGCGATGCATCAGCGATCTGGCAAAGATCATATACAGAACTTCTCATCCGAGCTGGTTTTGCCAAGAATCAAGCTTGGCCATCCTGCTTTTACCATGAAGGTTACGGTGGTATTCGAGTTCTTGTACACGGAGATGACTTCGTGGTGCTTGCTGATGATGCTGGACAGAAATACCTTGAGGACACCTTGAGGTCCAAATATGATCTGCGGGTCGATGGATCGATCGGTCCTGGAGAACGGCATCAGCAGTTCGCAGTGCTCAATCGAATCGTGACCTACAACGAGCAGGAAGGCTCTGTATCCTATGAGGCGGACCCCCGCCACGTTGACCAGATGGTACGAGATCTAGAAATGGAAAACTGTAAGCCAGTCAAGACACCATCTGAGAAAATGTCAGCCACGGAGGCCAACTTGAAGTTGACCACCCCGACCATCACACCGGACCGTGTAAGTTTCTTCCGGTCTCTGGTGATGAGAGCGTCGTATGTGGCACAGGACAGACCTGACATCGCGGAGGCAGTGAAATGCCTATCAAGAAGAATGCATGAGCCCAAAGAATCTGACTTTCAGGATCTGAAACGCTAGGTGAGATTTCTGAAAGGGAAACCACGTGTACTTTTGAAGTTTGGTCGCCAGAAGTTTGCTGACACGATCCACATGTACGTGGACTCCGACTTCGCTGGGTGTCTTCTTACAAGGCGCTCAACAAGTGGACTTGTGGCAACCTTTGGCCGCCACACGGTGAAGGCCTCGAGCACTCTTCAGAGCACGATCAGCTTGAGTTCCGGTGAAGCGGAATACTACTCGATCGTTCGAGGAGTTTCCATCGGAATGTCGCTACAGGAGATCTTGCGAGGATGGGGCCTACAACCAAAACTTAAAGTGCACACAGATTCATCCACTGCGCTGGGAACATGTAACCGTCAGGGCTTAGGCCGCTCACGGCATGTTCAAACTCGCTTTCTGTGGGTGCAAGAAAAGCTTGCACTACATGAATTCGAACTGGTGAAGATCCCGACAAAGCAGAACGTAGCTGATTTGTGCACCAAAGGTTTACCTGCGAATGAGATGGAAAGACACATGCAAAGCATGGGGTTCGAGTACTCTCATGGTAGAGCCGAAGCTGCAAAGGCTTTGGAATGAGTGTACATCAGCTTAGGAAAATCCCAGCCTCTGTACAGGAGGGGTGACGGGATATAGGGTTCTCACTAGTTGCTACGCCAACCTTTGGCTCAAGAACACCGCTGCTAAAATAGCGAGTTGCATATTCTCCGTTCAGGAAATAAATAGGGAAATAAATAGGGAAATAAATAGGGGAATAAATCGGGAAAGAAATGGGGAAATAAATAGGGGAATAAATAGGGAAATAAATAGGGAAATAAATAGAGGAATAAATAGGGGAATAAATAGGGAAATAAATAGGTAAATAAATAGGGAAGGGGAATAAATATGGAAATGAATAGGGAAATAAATAGGGAAATAAATAGAGAAATAAATAGGGAAATAAATAGGGGAATAAATAGGGGAATAAATAGGGAAATAAATAGGGGAATAAATAGGGAAATAAATGGGGAAATAAATAGGGAAATAAATGGGGAAATAAAGAGGGACATAAATATGGGAATAAATAGGGGAATAAATAGGGAAATAAATAAGGGAATAAATCGGGAAATAAATAGGGAAATAAATAGGGAAATAAATAGGCAAATAAATAGGGAAATAAATGGGGAAATAAATAGGGGAATAAATAGGTGAATAAATAGGGAAATAAATAGGGGAATAAATAGGGAAATAAATAGGGAAATAAATAGGGAAATAAATAGGGGAATAAATAGGTAAATAAATAGGGACATAAATAGGGAAATAAATAGGGAAATAAATAGGGAAATAAATAGGGAAATAAATAGGGAAATAAATAGGGGAATAAATAGGGAAATAAATAGGGAAATAAATAGGGAAATAAATAGGGGAATAAATAGGGAAATAAATAGGGAAATAAATAGGGAAATAAATAGGGAAATAAATAGGGAAATAAATAGGGAAATAAATAGGGAAATAAATAAGGAAAATAAATAGGGAAATAACTAGGGAAATAAATAAGGAAAATAAATAGGGAAATAAATAGGAAAATAACTAGGGAAATGCATAGGGAAATAAATAGGGAAATAAATAGGGAACATAAATAGGGAAATAAATAGGGAAATAAATAGGGAAATAAATAAGGAAATAAATAGGGAAATAAATAGGGAAATAAATAGGGAACATACATAGGGAAATAAATAGGGGAATAAATAAGGAAATAAATAGGGAAAATAAATAGGGAAAATAAATAGGGAAATAAATAGGGAAATAAATAGGGAAAATAAATAGGAGAATAAATAGGGAAACAACTAGGGAAATAAATAGGGAAATAAATTAGGGAATAAATAGGGAAAATAAATAGGGAAATAAATAGGGAAATAAATAGGGAAATGCATAGGGAAATAAATAAGGAAATATATAGGGACATAAATAGGGAAATAAATAGGGAACATAAATAGGGAAATAAATAGAAACATAAATGGGAAATAAATAGGGAAATAAATAGGGACATAAATAGGGAAAATAAATAGGGAAATAAATAGGGAAATATATACGGAAATAAATAGGGAAATAAATAGGGAAATAAATAGGGAAATAACTAGGGAAATAAATAAGGAAATAAATAGGGAAAATAAATGGGGAAATAAATAGGGGAATAAATAGGGAAATAAATAGGGAAATAAATAGGGAAATAAAAATAGGGGAATAAATAGGGGAATAAATAGGGGAATAAATAGGGAAATAAATAGGGAAATAAATAGGGGAAATAAATAGGGGAAATAAGTAGGGGAAATAAATAGGGAAATAAATAGGGAAATAAATAGGGGAAATAAATAGGGGAATAAATAGGGGAAATAAATAGGGAAATAAATAGGGGAGAAATAAATGGTGATAAATGGTGGTGAACATGAATAAATAGGGGAAATAAATAGGGAAATACAATAAGGGAAATAAAGGTGAAATAAATATGGGAATAAAATAGGGAAATAAAATAGGGAAATAAATAGGGAAATAAATAGGGAAATAAATAGGGAAATAAATAGGGAAATAAATGGGGAAATAAATAGGGAAATAAATGGGGAAATAAATAGGGAAATAAATAGGGACATAAATAGGGAAATAAATACGGAAATAAATAGGGACATAAATAGGGAAATAAATACGGAAATAAATAGGGAAATAAATAGGGAAATGAATAGGGAAATAAATAGGGACATAAATAGGGAAATAAATAGGGAAATAAATAGGGAAAGAAATAGGGAAATAAATAGGGAAATAAATAGGGAAATAAATAGGGAAATAAATAGGGAAATAAAATAGGGAAATAAATAAGGAAAAAATAGGGAAACAAATAGGGAAACAAATAGGGAAATAAATAGGGAAATAAATAGGGAAATAAATAGGGAAATAAATAGGGAAATAAATAGGGAAATAAATAGGGAAATAAATAGGGACCTAAATAGGGAAAAAATAGGGAAATAAATAGGGAAATAAATAGGGAAATAAATAGGGAAATAAATAGGGAAATAAAAAGGGAAATAAAAAGGGAAATAAATAGGGAAATAAATAGGGAAAATAAATAGGGAAATAAATAGGGGAAATAAAAAGGGAAAATAAATAGGGAAATAAAAAGGGAAATAAATAGGGAAATAAATGGGGAAAATAAATAGGGAACTAAATAGGGAAATAAATAGGGGAAATAAATAGGAAAATAAATAGGGAAATAAATAGGGAAATAAATACGGAAATAAATAGGGAAAATAAATAGGGAAATAAATAGGGAAATAACTAGGGAAATAAATAGGGAAATAAATAGGGAAATAAATAGGGAAATAAATAGGGAAATAAATAGGGAAATAAATAGGGAAATAAATAGGGAAATAAATATGGAAATAAATATGGAAATAAATAGGGAAATAAATAGGGAAATAAATAGGGGAATAAATAGGTAAATAAATGAGGAAATAAATAGGGGAATAAATAGGGGAATAAATAGGGAAATAAATAGGGAAATAAATAGGGAAATAAATAGGGAAATAAATAGGGAAATAAATAGGGGAAAAAATAGGGAAATAAATAGGGAAATAAATAGGGAAATAAATGGTGAAATAAATAGGGAAATAAATAGGGAAATAAATAGGGAAATAAATGGTGAAATAAATGGTGAAATAAATAAGGAAATAAATGGTGAAATAAATAGGGAAATAAATAGGGAAATAAATAGGGAAATAAATGGTGAAATAAATGGTGAAATAAATAGGGAAATAAATAGGGAAATAAATAGGGAAATAAATGGTGAAATAAATGGTGAAATAAATGGTGAAATAAAGGGAAAAAATAGGGAAATAAATGGTGAAATAAATGGTGAAATAAATGGTGAAATAAATGGTGAAATAAATAGGGAAATAAATAGGGAAATAAATAGGGAAATAAATGGTGAAATAAATGGTGAAATAAATAGGGAAATAAATAGGGGAATAAATAGGGAAATAAATAGGGAAATAAATAGGGAAATAAATGAGGAAATTAATATGGGAATAAATAGGGGAATAAATAGGGGAGTAAATAGGGAAATAAATAGGGAAATAAATAGGGGAATAAATAGGGAAATAAATAGGGGAATAAATAGGGAAATAAATAGGGGAATAAATGGTGAAATAAATAGGGAAATAAATAGGGAAATAAATAGGGAAATAAATGGTGAAATAAATGGTGAAATAAATAGGGAAATAAATAGGGAAATAAATGGTGAAATAAATGGTGAAATAATTAGGGAAATAAATAGGGAAATAAATAGGGAAATAAATATTGAAATAAATAGGGAAATAAATAGGGAAAGAAATTGGTGAATAAATAGGGGAATAAATAGGGAAATAAATAGGGAAATAAATAGGGAAATAAATAGGGAAATAAATGGTGAAATAAATGGTGAAATAAATGGTGAAATAAATGGTGAAATAAATAGGGAAATAAATGGTGAAATAAATGGTGAAATAAATAGGGAAATAAATAGGGAAATAAATAGGGAAATAAATGGTGAAATAAATGGTGAAATAAATGGTGAAATAAATGGTGAAATAAATAGGGAAATAAATGGTGAAATAAATGGTGAAATAAATAGGGAAATAAATAGGGAAATAAATAGGGAAATAAATGGTGAAATAAATGGTGAAATAAATGGTGAAATAATTAGGGAAATAAATAGGGAAATAAATAGGGAAATAAATATTGAAATAAATAGGGAAATAAATGGTGAAATAAGACTATGGAAAACAAGAAGGGAGACCAGCTGGGAGACCAGTTTGGAGACAAGGGAGACAGGGCCTCGGGAAGACACACCATCCAACAAAGGGAAACAAGAAGGGAGACAAGGGGAGACAAGACCTCGGGAAGGCGGACAGACCATCCAACACCAAGCTGGACACCTTAAGAAAGCATTAAGAACCCCTAACAGCACACTGTTGTGGGGAAAAAAACATAAGTCCACATGTCCCATTCAATACCATATAAATCACCTATATACATGTCAAGTCCCACTAAACAAATCCATATACATCACAATTAAAAATCCATATAAAGTCCCATTGAATACCATATAAATTTGTCCCATTAAAGTCCATTAAATCACCATTAAATCATCGCAATATAAATCACCATTAAAAATCCATATAAAGTCCCATTAAATTTGATGAAACACCATTAAATCACCGCAATATCTCCATTGAACCATCGTAGAATTGTCTCACCTCGACCCCCCAGAGGTCCCAGAGGTCCCAGAGATCCCAGGCAGCGCCTGGCGGCTCACAGCAGCCATGGCCGCAGCGGCATAGCCCACGCTGGCGCCGAGGGCCAGGCAGAACCTGGGACTGTTTCCGAAGAGAGGACCAAACACCCCATGGTTGAGGATATGTATTATATATATATATATATGTATATGCGCACATGCATAAATATGATTAAATATGTTTGTATATATATATATACATATATAATTATATATACATACAAATATGTTTGTATGGAAGGATGGATGGACGGATGGATGGATGGACGGATGGATG